TCTTCAATGCCCGCGTTCACCCCCAACTGACCTACGGCTGAATCACAGGCATTCAGACAAAAACCTCATCTACTGTTATCATAACGTTTTAATTATGTGTTGTTATAATTCGGACATGTAACTAATCTATATCAATCAAAAAATAGATTAAACATTGTCAACATTATAAAAARGAAAACCTAAAAATATAGTGTTGTGCTTTTAACATCAGTACTAACCTCTAATAACKATAAATTTCTTCAACATGATATAAAACTCAAAAAAGTTGATTTTACATGATATTACCCCTTTAAATTATTTATTTCTCTTAATCCTCTCACTTACAGGGATTTCTAAACACATGGAATGAGTGCCTTCGCCACATTTCGGTCACAAGGTTATAATGGGATTTTTATGACTCGAATCACATGGAAAATAGTGGAAAATCGTCTTTGTGTTTCCCCCTCGTCTTCCATCGTGACCTTTCTCAAGACATGACAAACCTCAAACTATTTTTACTGGTYCTGATAAAGGTCACAGTCTGACAAGTCAGCACTGAATAAAAACAAAGATAATCTTAATACCTCTCTTTTTTTGCTTTTAGTGGAAGGACTACAACATTAACTGCTTTTATAGTTTACAGTGCAGTAGTAAAGATATTAAAAATGGACGGACACAAAAACACAGCAAACACATTTCTAAAATATTGTGTAAAAAATGAAGAACAAAGCCAGGGAAGGAAGTGAGTGGAGTTTTCTCACAGGCTCTGCTGCCCTCTTCTGTTTACAGACTCATCTGCTCCTGATTTCTTCCCATCAGAAGCTTGCATTTTATTTTTATATACTGACTTATTTTAAGTACTGACTCACTGCAGCGCAGCAAGCTTCACAATGAGCTTCAAAGTGTAACATAAATGAAATTATTTCATGAAGCGACTGTATGCTGTTTTTGTGCAACGAAAAGAGATTTAACAAATAAAACTGAACAGAAATCTAAAACATGACAATTTTTTTGGACAATAATGGCAACTTCACATGGATGCCTAAGATTATTAATTCTCATTATAAGATAATATTATAAATTTATGGATGACTGAAACTGACATAATAAGAAGTTGTATTATTGTAAATGAAGCAATACACTTAAAATGCACCAATACATTTAAAAAAGAATTTTACCTCATGTTGTATAACTTAATTGACCTTCATATATGTTTTTCCAGCTTAGTTCCAACAAATATTTTAGCACATAGTTGAAATTTTACTGCTTTCAAACATATATTTTTTGTTTTATGAAAGTCGATTAAATTGTAAAGCATGAGATAACTATTTTTTCCTTCCTTTTTTATAAATTGGTGCATTTTAAGTGCATTTATTTATAGATACATTTACATATTTCTGCTTTTATTTCTAATAATGTCAGCTTCAGTCCTCCATACNCACACACACACACACACACACACACACACACACACAAGTTTGTATTTCTAGCCTTATTAGGACCGTTTATCAACTTCCATTCTATGGCACAGTATGAGGGCCAAAATTAAGAATGTTGCACAACCAGCGGTTCCTACATCCTTGTAGCAGGAGGCTACAAGGAGGCTAAGCCAGCTATTGAGCTGATTTATGATAGGCTTGCATCAGTAACTGAGAGGCCAGGGCTGGCAAATGAGAAGGAGACTATTAATTTGTGTTAGCATTGAAGAGGCTAGCGACTAGCATGGATAAGCTGGCATTAGTATTGGAGAGGCTAGCGACTAGCATGGATAAGCTGGCATTAGCATTGGAGAGGCTAGCGACTAGCATGGATAAGCTGGCATTAGTATTGGAGAGGCTAGCGACTAGCATGGATAAGTAATACTTTTTATGTTTAATATTTATGCTATACGTCATGTTGAACAGTAAAATCTGTCTAAGGAACACCTGTCGGTGCATGTTGCTTATATTGTATGTCAACCATTTTTATTGAGAAAGATTTCTTTATTCAAAAATGTTTGTCTAATAAAGTATGCGAGCAGCCTAGGCATGCTAGTTGCTAGCCTCTCTGATGCTAACTCGTCGCCAGCTTATCCATGCTAGTCACTAGCCTCTCTGATGCTAACGTGTTGCCAGCTTATCCATGTTAATCCCTAGTCTCTCCAATGCTAATGCATCACCAGCTTATCCCTGCTAGTTGCTAGCCTCTCTGATGCTAACGCCAGCTTATCCATGYTAGTYGCTAGCCTCTCTGATGCTAACGCCAGCTTATCCATGCTAGTTGCTAGTCTCTCTTATTCTAATGTGTCGCCAAGTTACTGTGCTAGTTGCAAGCTTCTCCGATGCTAACACAAATAGTCTCCTTCTCATTTGCCAGCGTAAGTTACCGGGGCCAGCTGCTCAGTTAGCGGTGCCGGCCTATCATTAATCAGATCAATAGCTGGTTTAGGACTAGATATAGCCTCCTGCTACAAGGATGTAGCAAACGCTGGCTGCGCAATAGTCTTAATTTTGGCCCTCATACTGTGCCATACCATTCATGTCTATAACCCTGACCCAAAACTGGTGTTTCCAAYGTTTTAGGACCAGGCTTTGGTACCCAGAAGTACTACCTACCCTGACAAGGTAGGTGTTTATACCAGAAATGGTCCTAAAAAGAAAACAAAAACCAGGCACACACACACATTCACACACACACTAAGAATGTGCACGGCTGCCATTCTCATTTAGCACCATCAGAGCATACATCTCAATCTGTACGAGCCAATTCCCAGACTGTGCACACACGGCCTCTACACACAGAGTTCTACACAGACTTCAGGTAAGGTGCATGCTAATTGTTGCTCTTGGTTGAAGCTTACTGGAAGCAAATCTAAAAAGTAAGACGGAGCACACGTGGAGGGAAACTGATGGTGCACAAAACCCACACACCACCACCCAGAATCTGCATCCAAGAAAATAAAAACATTCATCAAAAATGTACATTCATGACACTCACAGTACCAGCCGTACAATAATAAAAACAAACAAACAAACAAACAAAAAAAAAACTTGAAATATCAGTCTTAGAGGGAGATTGTCCACTGGAAAGGACAAATTAAGACAAAATAAATTGTCTTTTGGAAGATCTTGGAAACCCGTCTGAAAGAGTTCAAATATATCTCCTAGCATTAGTTTGACAAAAGCGTGTACGAAGAAGGATTTCTCTCTTTTTACAGCCTGGATTTCTTCTGTCACACACTTGCGAAAATTCAAACAGCGCTCGAGTTGCAATCCCAGAGAAAGACGTTTTAAATCAACTTAAAATGATTCAAACGATGAGTCAGTGAGCCGTGTGATCGTTTGCTTAAAGCGAGTACAGATCCGATGAAGTGGAAAGGTTATGAGTAGTAAATATCTTACCTGTTGTAKAAAACTGCTGCTGCTGTTTTAAAACGATTCTAACCTCAAAAAAGTCATAGTAGTTCATAAAATCAATTTTATAATCTTTTACAGCACCTTTAGGTTTACTCTAAAACAATGTAAATCTGTATGCAACATGTGAAAATAAATTATTTCTTGTTTTATAAAATATACAAAAATAGTTTGAACAGACTTGTTTAGACTCTCAAAGAGATAATTAATCTTATCAATTCAGTTGATTTCAATGTTTTTTTTGTGCACCACACTGTACGTGGAGCAGAGTCTGAGGAGCTGAGAGAGGAGATTATAAATATTCATGTTGAAGGTAAAGACTACAAAATCATCTCCAAGCTGCTATGGATAATATTGGCAGCTTTGTGTACAAGGTTCATTCTAAAGCCAACCAACCAGGATGTGGTCGCAAGAAATGCAACCCCAGGTTAATCAGACAAGGGGGGTGGGGGGAAAAAAAGAGCAGAGGAAACACCAAAACCATTCAAACTGAAATCAAAAGTCAAGGTTTTTCACTTTCTGATCACTTCTTATGTTACATTTTGAATCATAATGAGCTCTATAGGAGACCAAAAGAGCTCCACTACAGAAAAACAGACATTTAAAAACAAAACAATAAATAAAAAATAAATAAAAAAACAGATTGAAATTTGCCAGAATGCATGTTGACAAGCTTCAATGAGCTTTTTGGCTATTGTAGGAGGATATCAACACTTTATCCACATACGTATTTCTTGCTGCAGAGAATATTCATGGATTTCAAAGTAAAAGTTTATAAATTAGTGTTTACTTAAAATTTGTTTGTAACTGGAGTTAGGATTTTAGCAATCTACTTTGGTTTTGCTTCAGCTTGGATTAGCTGTTAGGTTGAAATAAACAATTTCTTTCTGGTCATTTAAAAAGTTATCTGCAACAGGTAAGATATTCATTGTTCATAGCCCCTTCCGCAGAACCCCCACTTCAAAATATCTGAACTACTGCTTCAAGTGACGTTAATGTTGCTTATTAAAAACCGACACTGCACACATATGAGCTGCTAATTCTTCTTACCGTCACAGTTTATCTACTTCGTTGTGTGAAATAATTCATGATGCTGGAAAATGAGTGGAAACGAAGCCTTGGCTTGAAAATGAAAACATCCTGTTGAGCGAAAAACGTGTCGATGCAGCAGGTTTGTAAATGTTCAGGAGCGGGGGGGTTGCTGCAGGATCCACCTCAGACTTACAACAACGTGACTCTCTTGTGACCGTCTCCACAAGTGTCGRCGTTTTCTCTCCTCTCATCACAGTTCAGCCATGTTTCCAGGGGGATTTCTGCAATCTTCACATAGAATAGGCTGTATGTATTTCTTCAAGTACGACAAAGAATATTTGCAAAAAAAAAAAAATTATAATATTTTTTAAATATTCTAAAGTCCACCTGTTCGATAAGGTGCCGCTATGCGATAAAACTGCTCTACACATTCCTTCCGTCTCTGGGAATACCTTTCTGAAACAGTGCGCGTCTGATAAACTTAAAACAAAAGGCAAACAGTACCACTTCAAAAGAGCCTGAACTGAAAGAACTTCACATATCTGTTAAAGGTTCAGAGTAAGGCCTCTGCAAATACAAGACCATAATCAGTTCAAATAATAATAATAATAATAAAAACAGTCAAAACACAAAAAGGTGAAATGACAAGGTCATTCTACCAAATAAACTCCCAAGCTGAGAGGACGCAGGGCGATGGGCCGAAGACCCGCCTCCACAGATTATCTGTCAGTCTCTGGGATTGGTGAAACCGTCAGTGTTGACACCTCCGTCACCCGATGAGGTAACCGTGTGTTTTCAAAGTCTCTTTGAGCGCATGGAGCTCCTGCTGACGCGGGATGCTGCGTCCCTCCCCCTCCTGTCCAAGTCTCAGGCAGGATTCAGTTTGGGTTTCTTTGCTGTGCCGGCGGACCCCTTTGGTAGTCAGTTATCCACTTTGACAGGACCTGAATCGGGGGGCCGGCTGGGCATGATGTCCTCCTCCTCTCCTCGCGCGATCTGCTCCCAGTGACCCAGGTTCTCCCTGTAAACACAAAAAACACTAATTAGACAAATCAATTCTATTAAAACAATCGACAATTAATGGTCTAGCTTTTCCTAAAATATATAGGAAGTCTCAGAAATTCAGGACTTTTATTGAAGATAAAGTATTTTAAATAAAAAAGTAGCTTACTTGCAGGCTTTCAGAAGAGCACTAGATGGAGGGAAAAGCTCTGATAAAGTCGAGAAGCATGGGATTGCAACAGAGTTGTAGAAGCCCACCTTTAAAAACAAAAACAAACGAAATGTGTTCAGTGTAAAGGAGACATATCTTGTTTTTAAATCCTTCTTTTTCACATTTAAATCATTCAGTTGGTGGTCTAAATAAAGTGGAACTGCAATGGTTTGGTCTGAATTCCTCCTTATTGCAACTCCACAAGCCCCGCCCCTTTTCTGAGGTCTGTCTCGGATCAACTCGTTTTGAGGCTGTCTCTTTAAATCCGAACGCGGTGCTTCCCAACCCGCCCCCTCCAGCTTCCAGACCGATCCATTCTACCTTGATAGAGGGGTTTACTACTATTGCTGGGTTGCGATCACCTGACCYGGATGACACGAGAAATTCAGATTTCGGGGCAGGAAGTGATTTGCTCCGGTTCGAAACACAGCAAAATGGACCACAGTGAGTACGCTWATGCCCTAAATGTTCTGGCGCCGACAAGAAATCTCGAAAAAATTGCCGTTTGTCATCTGTCTGAGGAATTTGTCGTCTTTTATCTGTAAGTTTTTCAAATTAACTCCCKCGTGACACACTACTTTCAGAACATGAAAGACTTGAGGCGTTTCGACGCTGAACCAACAGAAGGAAACGGGGCTGCAGTTACTTCCTGCCCCCGTCTGCATTTTGTGACGTCGATACTACGTCATCAACAACCCAGCAAYRTAACGGCACAGAGTAAAACCAAAATGAACMTAATTYGTAACATTTTTTTCTAACTTCCTTTTGTTTTGTTCTTCTTTCGTTCTYTGTCCAATCTCCTGCTGACAAACTAACATCCCAACAGAAAGTGTGTGAGGTAAAACACTCAGAATACAGCTCTGGTCTTACTTGGCCTTGAGGAACCTCATCCTTCTTGTCTCTGTCCATCATCGGGATCGGCTGAATTCCAATTTTCTTCATCTCATCCCCCTGCAAAGCAACAAAACACCTGTGATTTTTTACATAATCGTGGCGAACCTCCTGATCACTACAGCACTTTTTTTTGGGGCCAATCAAGCTGTAAAAGATGCACAAAAAAAAAAAAAGCCGCAGAAACATTTTTCCTGTCAGGGCAAGAATAGAGGCCTGACTGTTGCACCGGAGGGATGATCATGATTCTAAAACTGGTTCAGCTCAAACACTATCCCACTGTACCTCAGCCCAGAACTCGGCATAGATGTCGTTAGCTATGAGYCGTGTGACTTGCCACCGCTTGGTAACAGAACACAGGTCACATGCTGTCATCATCAGACCAATCACACGGTCCCTAGAGGGGAGCAGAGCCTTGTTAGATCCATGCAGAGGAACCAAAAGCTCAGTTTTATGTGCATCACTTTGYGATGCCGCGAGACCAGTGCGCCGGCGCCTGTACCCCGGCCTGACCTGTGCGAGTGGTTGTTGAAGTCGAGCGAGCCCCCCGTCAGAAGCTCCGTCAGCTGCTGGTGGTTGTTGAAGTACAGGGCGAGGTCGGTGGCGATGATGGCCTTCCGGATGATMTCCAGCACCTGCTCGTACTCGCTGGAATTCAGGTTGGAGAAAATATTGTGCCCTTCCAGCTATGAAAAACAAAGAGATCAATAAAAAAGCAAAAGCTCCGCTTATGAGGCGTTCGGCTCAGCTAGACTGCAACAGGTTGTCAGTTGTTAGTCATCAGCCTCGACCAGCAAATCCTGAGTGTTCCTGAAGAGGCCAGCGGATACAAAGACCCATCGAGCTGCATGACTGGAGCTCTAAAACCAAAACTGAACCTTTTTTCTTTTACACCATGTTTGAGTACATTATTTATCTGGGRAGAGCAAAACACCATGAGGTGCTGTAGAAGTAAAATAAGCATGTAGACGTATTGTCCTCATGTTCATGTAGGTGTCACTTTCACTTAAAGGGGACATATCATGCAAAATCCACTTTTTATCCATTGAGCGCATTTTGTTCCAACATGTCAGGCTGGATGGACAAGTCTTCCCTTGAAGACATCTTTTCATTAATTTGCAAATAAAAAGTTTCTGCACAGCTATATAGTCACCCCATTATAAGCTACAATGGAACGGTCTTGAATAGGGCTATTCAAGTGGTGGCCTGTGGGCTGAATGTGGCCGGCGTGTGACCAAAGTTCGGCCCGCCAATTGGTTCCTTCATCTCTTAAGCTCAAACCTCTGTTTTTCTACTTTAATTACTCTAAGTTCTTTGAGTTAAACATAGATGTTTGGTATCTACAGAAAGGTCAGAATCTTGGCTACGACCTGGTAAAGACCATTTCTATGCACACTCAAGACAGTTAACTACAAGTTGAAGATACAACTATGAAAGTGAAAATAAAATTGGTTTCAAAATTCGGCAAATCAGAGACGTTAAAATATTATTTGTGTCAAATAGGAGGCAGAATGTGTTATTTTTTCTTTTTGATATTGTTTTATTATCACTACTTTTAGAGGGTTCTGAATGTTGTATTCATGACTGAATGCAGCAAAATAAACTATTTCAAAGGTAACAGATATTTGTAATAATTGGTTTATTTACATAATGAGTTTAATCACTGGATGTTCGGCCCCTGAGCTGTTGACCTGTAGTAGCTGTGGCCCCCGGAGCAGTTTAGTTAAATAGCCCTGCTGTAGAAGCTGGAGGGGGTCAGAGTGTGAAGCGCCTTGTTTGAATTTAACGAGACAGCCTCAAAACGAGTTGATCTGAGACGCACTTTAGAAAAAGGCGCAGAAGAGGGGCTTG